CCCCAAAACCCCAAAACCCCAAAACCCCAAAACCCCAAAACCCCAAAACCCCATCTTGGTTTTAAGCTATTGGAATAAAATTAGATAATAAATATTTCATTATGGCTCCAAAGTTTTTGTCTCAATCGAGATTTACAGTTTTGATTGCTACACTTTTGATAGTGATCAGCCTCTCTTCAGCAACACTACTAAGTAAGTTTGGTGATAGAATTAGAGTTGGAATCGGTTGAAATTTTGATTCACATTTTAAATTTACTTTCGCGGGGATTTCGTTAAAGAACTCCTGTTGCAGATAGACTCTTAGCAATTCAGATGAAGTTGGGTTTTCACATTTACATATCGCTAATCTTAAATGTTATTCCTCAATTTTGAAATAAGCCTAACGATTATTTTATAGAAAATCAAAGAAGGACTCTTCCAAATTTCCATAAAGTGACAGATAATGGATCTGTGGTACCTATAGTATTCATTAATAATTCTAGATTCACAATAAGTTAAGTAACAGTGCTTTCTTTTTGGGTCAAACTCAAGCCCCTACACAAGCTCCTCAGGCTCCAACGAACACTTCTCAAGCTCCACGCCAAAATCTACAAACTTCTGCAGGATCTGCTCAACCTCAACCAAAAACCCAAAGCTCTCAGAGTGCTCAGCCCTCTGCTCCAGCACCAAGACCTGTGAAATCAGATGATGAATTCAGAAAGGTTGATAGCTATCAGCAATACTTGATCAACCTGATCAAGCCAACCTATTTAAAAGAATTTGAGACTCCTTTCAAAAACATTACTGCAGTTGGTAAGCTAAATCAGGATTCTTTCTGGTCAACTAACTCTTAATCTAGGAAGCGACCACGTCTACGATCTTATTGACTACTATGATGACAGGATTCTCCTCATTGACTTTTACACAAGAAAGGGCAACCATGAGGATGTTGTCAGTGACCTAAAGACTCTCATTGGGGATAACAAGAAGTGATATGACCAGATTCTCTACATCGATTGCAATGCAGACCTTAGATATGAGTTCTACAATATCCTATATGACCTTAACCTGCTGACCCAGCCTCTTAACTACTTCCCTAACTTCTTAGTCCTTAAGAAGGGACAAGGCGATATGATCAGAGGTGATGATTCTGCCCAATTGATTTACGAAAAAGTATTAAGCATGCTAGAGTAAATTATTCAACGGCTCAAGAACTACCTTGTTATATACTCAGAATTCTAGTCTTATTATAACCTGAAAGAGGGAGAGATTGGTAACTAAATAGTTTAGAACTTATGACAAGCCTTCTTGTCAAATTTGTGAAGACAGGTTGGCAATTAGCATCAGTTTAAAACACGACAAGAAATAGAATATTGAGCCTAAATATAATGCAGCTTCAATGTTGGAATGGGGTTTTGGGGTTTTGGGGTTTTGGGGTTTTGGGGTTTTGGGGTTTTGGGG